AAAAATTAAAAAATTAAACTGAAAATTTAAGGACCTTAAGTTTTAACTATTTAATCTGCATCTGACTAAGGATTTTCCACAGGACTGAGATACACTAAAGTTCTGGGATTTTTCCTCCCACCTATAACCTAGAAAAAGGGAGGGAGACAGAAAGAAGGGAGGAAAGGAGAGAGGGAATGAGAAAACTTGCATGGAGGAAAAAATATGGAAGATTACACCCTAGACCACGGCTAGGGAATAGGGGTGCCCTCGCTTTCTACCCTGTATCATTTGTGTGGTTTCAGTTATTTCGGGGCTTCCCTGGGGCATGACCAGTGAAGGCTAGCACTCTGAAGCTATTGGCAGCCCCTGCAGGGGGGTGGCCCCCAGGGCGCAGCAGACATCTCCTGTCTCCTGCTGCTCCCCTCAGCCTGGGTTTCAGTGGATCCGCCTGTTCTGCTCCCCACTCTGTCTCTGGGGAACCCTTTCACACACATCCCACACCGCTGGCCTGCACCCCAGTTCTTGTGTGCATAAATACATCTTTAAACAAAAATTCTTTTGTGACATAAAAATACCTAAAAACATAAGCATATAATGAAATCAAATTTTAAAACTTTAAAAACATATTTTGGTAAAGAATTCTGAGGTTTGAAAATACAGCAGTGTGGAGGGGGCTGGGATGAGTCTGGGGCAGCCTCCCCCAGAGGCCCACAGCCAGAGCACACAGACCCCAGGTCAGGGCTGGCCCGAGTGGACAGGGGTGGGGGCATCCACAGAAGGAGCTGGAGCTAGAGAAGCATGCGGGCAGCCTGTGGACACAGGTGCTTCTTCCCATAGCCCCACTGCCATCAGGCGCCCCACGGAGCCCTGTCACTTCAACCCCACCTGAGCCGGGTGGGCCCAGGCCCTGACTCTGCAAACTCCCCGCCCTTCCCACTGCAGCCCAGCGAGGATGGCACCATGGGGAGAGCCGCCTCCTGGGCTCCAGGCCAGCTGCAGCCACAGCGTCCAGCAGGGCGGTGTGCCCACCCTGGCTTTTGTCCCTGCCATCCCCCACCTGGCATTCCCAACCTCATCGGCGGCAGCCAATGCACTGATGGGGTGTCTACCCAGAGAGCGACATGCATGTGAGCTGAGAATATGGGGGTGCCGTTCCAGCCCTGGGGCTCACGGTCCCCACTGCCCCGGGGCGGGAGAGCTAGTGCTCAGTCTCCGGCAGGCGGCCTGCCCGCTCTCACACAACCACCTTTGTTCAGCGTCTGCTCCCAAGGGCATCTTATCTGCCTAAACAGGTTGTAATCTCCCAGAGTCACAGACCCCTTTCCTCGTGCCAACATGGAGTAAACACAGCCTCTTGCTGAGAGGCTGGCGGCAGCGGAGAAAGCACCACAACCACACCCTCCCAGGGAGGTAGCCTGACCCTGCCCCCAGCTGGGACCCCACAGGAAATTCTGGCTCCCCACCCTCAGCACCCCCAAGCCCCAGAGCCAACCCCTGACCCCTCCGCCCCCTGCTCTGGCTCCTCCTGCTCCCGTCTGCCCAGGCTGTGGTCAGGGACAGGGATGTCCTCCCACCCTCGGCCTGCAGGAAGCTGTCTCCCCAACCTCAGCAGGACTCTTCTGGTCCTCAGGCCTCGGAAGAACGTCACCTCCTCAAAAGTCCCTCTGGCAGCTGCCTGTGTCTTTGTCTTTGTAACCCTTATGAGTCAGACTGGGACACAACCCACAGTGGGGCCCCTCCCCTCCCTAGAAACTGAGCCCTCTAAAGAGCAGAGTCTGGGGGGCTCCAAGGTGAGGAGACTTGCCCAAGGTCAAACGGGCAGGGGGAGGTGGGACTGGAAATGCCCGCTGGGCTGGTGCCAGAACCCCGCCGCCCAAGGTTTGACTCACTGAAAAAGTTGGCCATTCTGCTAGCCTCCGAGCTCCCAGCCTGCAGGGGTGGGCCGGGTCCAGAGAAGGCCCACCGCGCAGGGCCACAGAGAGCTGAGGGGCATCTGGAGACAGGAACTGGAGCCAGAGCTTAGGTGCATTTATTCCTGTACAAATCATTACAAAACCAGTCTGGTGTAGTTGCCAGCCCCCGCCCTAATGTGCAATGGCTCACTGCTGGCCTCCCATTCCACCGCCTCCTCCAGGAAGCCCTCCAGTCTTCCCTCTGGGCTGGGGAAGAGCAAGGGGCAAACCCCACTGAGGCCCAGCAATAAAGTGCCTGACGTAGAGTGAGGGAACAGAACCAAGTAAACCAGTTTCTGACCCCCTAGAGCCTTCTCAGGCCCAGCTCTGGGAGACCCTTGGAAGCCTCCAGCAGCTGCAGACACAGAGGCTCCACAAAATTCCAGTTCGGCTGGGATTTCCCCCTTCCTCCATGGGAAGGCTCCCCCAACAGGTGGAACCCTCACTGCTGGATGGCAGGAAATGGGGCCTGGCTCTTTACGAGCCAAGCTAATGGCAGCTGGGCTGAGGGGCTAAGGAAACAGCTGAAGGGTCTCATTCCGATTAAGAGTCCCCCATGCCCTGGGGGATTTGCGCAAAAATACCCTCAAGTTTCTAGGCGGAGGTTGAGAAGGGCAAGGGGTGCCCAGACCCCCAGGGAGCTGAGACCCCCGTGGGCAGTGACTGGAGGGATCCAGTCCGAGAGAGAGAACAGACCCAAGGCAGCCGGTGGGTGAGTGGGAGGGCCCCGACTCCCTGTTCAAGCCCGACTCCGCCAGAAGGGCGCCTAGAGAAGGGGCCACTCAGGCCAGAGCCAGCCCCCAGACGCTGGCGCCCCACCTCTGGGACCCCCTCCACGCCGGCCCTCAGACATCTCCCACCCCCACGCAACCTCTCTCTGGCTCAGGGAAGTGAGGGGCAGCATTAAGTTTCCGGCTCCTTGGGACAGGACCCCATCGTCCCTGCCAATAGAGAGAGAATTAGGATCCACCCTGGGGCTTTGAACTCAAGACCTCATGGGGGAGGCCATGTCCTTAGCCTCAGATTACTCAGAAATACCCTGATTGACTACGCTCAGACCCTGTCTGGACAAGAAATATCTCGACACCCCTGATTAACCATATAGAAGCCCAAATCCCTGATTGGCCACGAAAATCCTCCCACGCGCTGACTGGCTGGAGGAGCCTCCTTCTGCAAGGCCCTGATTGGCCAGAACACACTCCTGCCAGCCCTGATTGGTCAGAACACACTCCTGCCAGCCCTGATTGGCCAGAACACACTTCACCAGCCTTGACTGGCCAGGAGGTGGCGCTCGTCCAGAGGCTGGGCGGAGAACGGCTCTCCAGGGCCCTCGCGAGGGCCGCCCTGGCCGGTGGCCTAAGTCCAGGACGGGTGGGAGAAGGTGATGCCGTAGAGCTGGGCCCAGGACGAGAAGACCCTTTTCTCGGTGATGAAACGGTGGTGGTTGCCCTTTCGGCTGTGCTCGTTCTGGATGTAGGTGACGCACTCGTCCGGCCCCTTGGGCTCGTAGTAGTGGTAGGGCATGCGCTGCAGGCGGGGCCGCTGGCTGGGCAGAGCACACGGCCATCAGCGCAGGCCCGCAGGCCCGTGCCCTGCCCGTCCCGGGCCTGCAGTAGGCCATCGGCCTGGAGGGGGACACCCCCCCCCCATCAGTTCCCCGTCTGTAAAATGGCGTGTGGGATGAAATAATTGTAGACCATGGCATTTTTTTTAGTACAGTTAAGCCTCTTCCTTTCCCCAAGAGGACCCCGTGCAAGGTGGTGGTAAGGGCTGGAGCTCCGGAGCCTGCCCCCACTCCCTTACTATGATGGCAGTGTCCTCAGGTTTTCTCATCTGTGGCGTGGGAAGAATAATGTCACTACCCCTGAGGTCACCACGAGGACGAGAAGATAATTGTGGCCATACTTGGTTACCTGGGCAGCAAGTGGAAAGCAGCGCCCCCGCTCAGCCTTACATGTCACAGTAACAGCTCGTGTTAATAATATACAGACTCTGGAGTGGGAGCTGGAGGGGGCCGATCTCTGCAGCGCTCTTTGAACATCATGAAATAGAGGCCCGTGAAGGCACCCTGCCAAGCCTCCAGGCGCCAGCTTCACCCTGAGGCCAGTGATGGAGGTTTTCCGGGGAGCTCACCTGCAGTAGTCCGGGGGGACCATGCCATAGACGTGCACGTGGTCACACAACTCCACTGCAATCACCATGGTGAACCAGCCTGTGCTCAACCACGAATGGGACTTCTCCCTGGAGGTAGACAGGGTCGTGATGAGGGGCAGGATGGGCAGGGAGGGGGGTCAACCCACAGGGGGTCTCCCAGATCGCCTTGCCCCCCCCCACCTCCAGCCCCACGCCAACCAGTGCAGTCCACTGGGGGAGTATGTAGTCTGGCAGATACACCAGGTGTGGAGAAGCACCTTGGAGGGAAATAGAGGGGAACAGGGCATGCTGGGAATAAGCCCTAGAGACACGGTCACACTTGGACTGGGATCTCCCAGACTGAGAATGAGCTTGGCCTCGCAGCATGCTGGAAAAATGGCAGGAGAAGCAGCCTAGAGCAGAGAACTGTGTTGCCCACAACTGCAGCCACAGCCACCTGTGGGCACCTGAGCCCTGACCCAGGGCTGAGACACAGTGTGAAGACAGACAGGATTTCTTAGCATGAAAAAAAGTATGTAGGATAAGTCGCCAATGATGTTTGATACTGAGTACATGTTGACCTACAATTTTTTTTTAAGATTTATTTTATGCATACAAGAACTGGGGTACAGGCCAGAGGTGCAGGGGGGTGAGAGCATTCACCAGAGACAGAGTGGGGAGCAGAACAGGTGAATCCACTGAAACACACTGCTGAGGGGAGCAGGAGAGGTCTGCTGCACCATGTGGGACAGTTCCCTGGCGGGGGATCGAACTCATGCTACAGCGACTTTGAAGAGCTTCATAGTGCTGCGCTTTAAACCTGTAGCACCGCCAGGAAGGGTCCCTATACATTTCTGCAAGTATCTGATGGAAGGTAGTTCTTTGAAAAGTTTAAAAGAAAATACACTTCTCCCAAGACCGATAAAGAAGAGCAAGAAGACACAACTTAGAAATATTAAGAATAAAAGAGATCTGTAGATACTAAAAGAATAATAAAAAAAATACATATGTGAATTTGACAACTTAGGTAAAATGGGTTAATTCTTGAAAATGACAAGCTACTAAAATTCACCCGAAATGAAATAGAAAACCTGAAAAGCCTAAAATTATTTTTAAAAGTTAATTCATATTTAAAATCTTCTGAAAAGAACTCTCCAGGCCCAGAGGTTCACTGGCAAGTTCTACCAACATTTAAGAATTACCACTGGTTCTGCATGCTCACTTCCGATTCATTTTCTGAATGCCTGCGTTACCCTTAGACCAAAACCAGGTAACAGTACCAACAAAAAGAAGAATATATCACAACCAAGCGGAATTTATCCCAGAAGTGCAAAGCTGACTCAATTTTCAAAAATCAATCATTATAACCCACCGTAGTAATAATCTCAAGAAAAACCATATATTGGGCCCTCCCTGGTGGCACAGGGGTTAAGTCGCAGCCTATGAAGCTGTCCATAGCCACTGCAGCATGAGTTCGATCCCCAGCCAGGGAGCTGACCCACAGGGCACAGCAGACCTCTCCTGTCTCCCCACCACGCCCCTCAGCAGTGTATTTCAGTGGATCTGCCAGTTCTGCCCCCCAATTCTGTCTCTGGTGACTCCTCTCATACCCACCCTAGCATCTCTGGCCTGCACCCCTGTTCTTATATGCATAAATAAATAAATCTTTAAAAAGAAAAACCACATATTAATGATGCAGAAAACAGATTCAATGTCCAATCATGGCAAAAATTCTATCAAGATTGAGAGGCAATAGCACCCCGGGAATATTTGTAAAGTTTTATTTAGCTAAAATTAAAAAAAAAAAGAATCTTAGAATCTAATGAAAGAAGGAAATGTCCTCAACCTGGCAAAGGCCAGCTACAAAGCCAGCCACTTACACTGGAGTTAATCACAGGAGACAGCCTGTCCCCCTCAGGCTGGGCTGAGAAAGGGGGTCGGCTGTCACCACTTCCAGCACAATTCAACATTGGGCTGCAGGTCCATTCCAGGGCAAGACGGTAAGATGAAGAAATAAGAGGCATACAGGACTGGAAGAAATAAAACTCCCTTTTTTCATGTCCTTCCAAAATGGTTATCTACATAGAAAATCCCAAAGAAGCTATAAAAATCTAGAACTAGTAAGTGTAGCAAGATAACAAGATATAAGCAGTAACACACAAAGCTCAGCAATATTTCCATATACTAGCAATGAAAACTTAGGAGCCGAGAACCCTTTTGAATACAAAGCATTTTAAATATTTAAGTATAAACCTAACAAAATATGTATGAGGTCATATTCTGTAAATGAAATAAATGTGGCTCCTATAAAAATTTAAATAACGCATGTGGCTTTTATTATATTTGTATAGGACATCACTGGCCTAGCTTTTTGAGGGAGATTTATCGAGAGTAGGACATGCTGGAAATGACGTAGCCTTAGCACAAAGCATGCCGGGAGCAACTGTGTGCTTAAAGCAAGACATGCCGGGCACAGTCAACACGTCCACCAGGCAGCTCCCCTTGAAGATGCTAGGAGTGACTGTGCAATCTCAGCACAGAGCATGCTGGGAGGAAGCCCTCTGGGAGACAGGACCATGAGTAGCACACTGGAAATGACTCATGCTAAGAGCTGGATCTGAAGAGGACTCCCCTCAGAGACCTGAGCAGGGGCTGGCTAGCCCTGGCCATGTCCTCTGAGGGGAGCAGGCCGAGGGGGAGCACAGGGCCGGACAGAGGCGGGCAGGCAGGAGGCTGGTACCTGTCCTTGCCCGTCTCACCCCGGAAGAGGTCGTCAAACTGGCGCATGCGGCCGGGAGAGACGGCGTAGGCCTCCATGTTGGGGAACACCAGGCCTGCCCGCTGGATGAAGCGCACAAGACTGCCCTGGGGCTTCTGCATCTTGTTGGGGGGGCCCCAGAAGATGAACACGGTCTCGGGGGTCCGGTTGACAAACTCCTGGGGCCTGCGCAGCACACGGAACACGCTGGAATGGGCCACAACGCGGAAGGTGGTCTTGTTGCCCACGTCTGCGGAGTAGCCCGTGGTGGGCGCGTCGTTCATGCGGATGGTGCACTCTGCCCGCTCGATCTCAGGGCCCAGCTTGGTGCCCAGCAGGTGGCTGGAGCTGGTGACTATCACACACTGGCGGCACCGGGAGGGCAGCGTCTGGGGCATGGAAAGTCAACACTGTCAGGGCCGTCAGCGCCAGGCACAGCCTGTGCCCTCCGGCCCCAGAGGACAGGAGCTATCGTGCCCCTGCTAAGGACGGGCAGCTGAAGCCCAGCTGCTCAGCATTCAGCACCTAGCAATAAGGAACAATCAAGTGCCAGTGCAACAGTGAGCTGGCGAGTGGCCAGGTTCTGGGGCCAGAGCAAAGGGGCCAGTCTCCTGTCTTCGAGAAGCTCACGGTCGGTGAGACAGGCAGTGAGCAAGACAAAATCACACCCGGTAGTAAGAAACGAGCTGGCAAGGAAAGGAAAGAGCGGCGGAGGTCCAGCTACTCAGAGGGTGGCGGAGGCCTCTGCGCTGAGAGGGGACCACACCGGAAAGGCAGGGCCGAGGCTCTGACGTGACGCTGAGGCGCAGAAGCAGGTCACTCGCTGGGTCGGGGCAGTTAACAAGACAGAACAGGACCCCCTGTAGGGTGTCCTGGAGTCACATGGGGACCGAACCCAGGTGTAGAGGGCCATGACCCCCGCCCCCAGCTCCACACCTCCCCGGTGCCCTGAGACAGGTCCCCGTTGCCCACAGGGAAGATACTGCTTGTCGAGAAGGAGCGGGGTGGATGCCCTCCCGGGCCACCATTTCCTCACCGGTGGCATGGACCAGTGGGCTCACGTGTTTCTGGGGCCATTTTCGGCCATGGAATTCTCACTCAGCCCTCGAGACTAAGCCCGTGCCGCCTCCTGCAGGCAGACTTCCTTCCGCCCTGACGCCAAGCTCAGCCACACGTCCCATGAACCTCCACTTTTCCAGCTTCTCTGAGCTCGTTTTCTGGCCTCCCCAGTCAGGCTGGCTGACCAGGCCCTGCCCCCACATCACGCACTCGAGCTCCTCCACACTCTCCTGGGGTCCTCCTCCACTCCTTTCAGGGGTCCTTAGGGCACAGAAGCCTCAACTTGGTGATTATCTGTCTCTGAACACTGCTAATGAGTGCTGTCCCCGCCAGGGTCTGTCAAGGGCCCTGGGCCCTCCACAATGTGTATGTGACGACCCTGAGAAAATGAGGGGGTCCATGAGGGAGCAGAGAGATAGGCACCCTCAGGGAGACCTCTTCCTCCTGGAAGGTGGGAAGGTCCTTAATTTCTTCCCTGACGGCAAGGAAAATGACTAGGGCTTGGAGGACAACAGGGTGAACCCCAGAAGTAGCACCCCAGAAGCCTACCAAGCAAATAGAAGCCCCCCAAAATGGCGCTTGGCCTCTCTACAGGCTGCACTCAGAAGGGCTGCGGCTCCTCCCTCCTGTGTGACCTCGGATAAGTGTCTGCCCCTCAGGCCTCGGTTCCTCACCTCTTCCGTAGGTTACCAGGTGCGGCGCCACAGGGGTGGTATGAGGGTGACGTGTCGTGTCAGGGCACAAGCAGGCCCTGGCACAGCTGCTGCTGCTTGTCTGTTTATGCGTCAAGTGCCCGGTCCTGCTCCCAAGCCCGGTGCGGACTCCTCAGCAGAGACACATCAGTGGAAGCCAGAGACACCCTTCCAGAGGGGTTCTGACTTAGGACATGGTGGGAAATTCACCCCAAGGTGGGACCTTGCAGAGAACTGAGGCCCAGAGAGGGACAGGGTGCCTGTCTCAGGAGGCTGAGGCCCTGGAAGCCGAGGTCTGGGCTCCTGCGGTCCGTCCTCTCCTCTAGGAAGGGGAGGGGAGGCAGGGGCAGTGATGGAGGCAGCAGGGACCAGCTGCCGCGCAGGTCCCAAGGAGTCCCGCAAAGTGGCCGCCTACCTTGTTGCCAAGAATAGGGATGTAGCCGTCGGTGAGGCGCCACTTCTTGAGGTTGACGGGCCGCCGGGCGCGGCCTCGCAGGGAGCCATAGTGGAAGACCTCATTGGCACCGTTGGAGCTGTAGAGGATGAGGATGGTGATGAGGGCAAAGAGGATCACGAACACTGCTGACCGCTGCTCCTGGAGAGGGGAGAGGAGGTGAGGCCCGCCACCCAGAGGCCTCGGCGGCTCCCTTCCTGGCCACCTACCATGCCTGGCTAACTCTATTCATTCCAGACCAGCCAGGTATCCCCTTCAGCCCCTGAGCGCCCTCTCACAGCACTGAGCACACTGACTCAAAGCCCCACCACCGCGCTTCCTTGAGACCATGAGCTCTGAGGACTGGGCCTGGCTCAGTCTTGCTCCTGCCGTATGTATCAGAGGCTCCTGGGGAGTGCTTACAGGCTCCTGGGGAGTGTACTGGCTGTGAAGGCAGAAGGAACCCCCCAGAAGGACCCCCCCAGCTGCAGTCAGAAGCCTGCCCGGAGACAGGCAGGACATTCAAACAAAAAGGGTTCCAGTTTTCCCCAACATTTGCAGGGTTTCCAAAGTTAGGGGTGACCTGGAGGCCCAGGTTCCTGGTGATGAGTGTCCGGTGCCAGTGCATAGCTTCTCAGCTCCCAGTTCACCCTTATGGCCTGCTCTGTGGAAGTAGATCTGAGCCTTTTGAAGGTTTTTTTCGTCCCAATTTCCTGCATATTAGGCTGTGCCAGTAGTGGGCGCTGGAGAGGCGCTGCAGGAGGAAAGTCCCTGGCTGCCCTCAGCCCTGGCTCCTGTGGCAGGGGGCAGGGCCCGTTTCCCCAGCACGCCCCATCAACCAGCTGCCCGCCACTGCTTCCTCCACCCACCTCTCTGGAACAGAGTGCCTATGGCACCGGGAGTCAGCTGTGATGACAGCTTCCAGGAGGCCAGCTCATGGACACACAGCCATGGGCAGTGCCCAAGCCCATAGCCCTCGGCTCCCTGGGGCAGTTTCCTGTGGGAGTTCGCAGTGCCCCTGCAGCCTGCCCTGCAGCCTGGAGGTGGGCTGAGGCTGCACCAGCGCAGGCCTAGGTGAGCTCTCGGCCCCAGGGGTCACACTGTGCCCTCTCCAGCCAGGCCTGGACATCAAGTCTTCCAATGTCCAGTTACAGTTAAGTCTTGCATTTACCTTCCCCCATTCAAATCACTGTCTGTCTGGTTTCTCTCTCAGCTTGAACCCAGACGAAACCCCCAGAACACCCTACCCCACCTTCAGGATCTGCAAAGGGTACAGGATCGCCGACTTGAGGGCAGGGTGTGCGGGCCAGGCACACCGGGTACCAGGGAAGCATGAGTGAGTGGAGGAAGGGGTGTGCTCTCAGCATTCTGGCATCTTGGCTCTGGCCACTCCTCCTTACCCCCCACCCCGGCCCTCCCCTTTCCACCTCCCCACACAGCCAACACCCACCCTGCATGGCACTCCAGTCTCATCTTCTCTAACCATCCTCGCCTTCTCAACCAATCAAATCCAAAAGATCAGACGTGGCCCTGGGCCCAGAGTGAGGCAGGGGCTTGCCCCAGGCACACCCATCAGTGGCCACAGCAGAGCTCTGCCCTGCTCTGTGGGGACAGACTCAGTGGCCTGGGTCTGAGGCAAGCCCGAAGGGCCCCTGGGGGGGGGAGTACGAGACTGGAATGGGAGCAGGAAGCCAGGGGGCACTTACTTTGTTGCTACTCATCTCTCTCCGGAGTCTGCTGGGGGGCAGGGGCCAGTGTCCCACAGGTGGCCCAGGGGACAGGGAAGTGGGCTCACACCTGCAAACCACAGGAAGGGTTACGGCCTGGGGACTGGCCCCAGGGTCAAGCTGCTCAGAGGCTACACCCTACACACACACACCACACAGCCCACTGCCCACCTTGACTTTAAGGCCTGGGACCATACTGATTCTGCAGAAGACACCGCGGCCCAGAAAGGCGGGAATGCGCCCTCCACACAGCCTTGCTGGGGGCCCAGCTGGCCCCCATCCACTGTCCTGTTCTAAGCCCTGCCTTAGGTCCACGTGGTGGGATAAGGAAGTTCCCTTGCAGGTCTTCACAGCCCTCTGCACGCAGGTACTTCCCCTCTGCCTGGCCACCCTGCTCCTCTGAGCCTGGGTGGGCCACACGGCCTGTTCCCTCCCCGCCAGGCTGAGCGCTCTTCCAGCGCCAGGAGCTGTGGCTTCCTCGTGAAGGGACCTGGCTCTGTTGCTCACTCCCCAGCCGACAACACCCCTCCATCCTGCATCCTGGCTTGGGGATCCTCTCTAGACTTCAGTTTCCCCACCTGTCAAAACGAGGTTGAGTGCTTGGGTTCTGCCATCTCCAGCAGACTCACGGCCAGAGGGCACACGGGAAACGTGCCGAGGCCGAAACTGGGCCCTGGGGGCTCCCAGTTCTGCACTCTCCACGAGGGGTCTCTCAGCTCGGCCGGGATCTCCCCAGCCTCCAGGAACAGCCAGAGCTCCTCCGTGCGAGGAGGCGACCCGCGCTCCGCCGCTGATTGGCTCGGTCTGGCTCCGCCCACGCCACAGCCCCGCCCACGCCCCGAGCCCCCACTCTGGAAACCGGCTTCAGGTTTCCACTGGGACTGGCGGCTGGCGGCCCTCTCCACTAGTCCGAGAGGTCGTGGGCCTCTCACTGGCTTCAGTCCTCGCGGGAAATATCTGGAAACAGGCTCAACAGAAGGGGAGCGCCGCCCGTCCTTGGGCCCTCCGCAGTCGCAGTCGGGCAAAAGGCAGAAGCCCAGCGTCGCCCCATCAGCCCTGAGACCGACCGCTGGCACCCCAGACCCTCCCGGGCCCACTGTCTCACACCCTCTGCCCTTTCATCCGGGCGCCCCATGCTCCAGACACACCAGAGCTCACCAGCTCCCAGGCTCGACCCCACTCTCCCACCTGTGCCTGAGCAGGGCCCTCAGCCAGGACCACCGTCCCCCTGGTCAGCCCAGTCACAGTCCTGCTCTGAGAAGGCCGCGGGCAGTCACAGCATCGCAGGTGTCAATCCCGGTTCCACTTACTGGCTGAGGGGCCTCGAGGAAGCCATGTGACCTCTCTGAGCCTCAGTTTCCTCATCTGTGAAAAGGGAAAAAGAGCAGGTCACTCACCTTGGTTAGAAGGGTTCAAGCAGACATGGCAAGGGCAACCCAGGGCTCGAAAGTGACCGGCAGCGCCGGCAGCTATGGGTTTGTGGTCATTCACTGTTCAAAGCCACCTCACCAAGGATTTGCCAGGAAAACATGCCCACTCATCTGACCCCCAGCCAGCCGTTTCCAGGAGTTTCCAGAAAGCTGTGCAGGAAGGAGTAGGGGTGGCCCACTGGCTGGGTCCTGGCAACAGCGCGGTGGGGCATCTTACTCCCCACTTCACAGATGAGAAGACTGAGGTTCACAGAGCCCACTGCCCGGCAGGGCTTCCGGGAGCCGCAGGGAGACTTGTTTATAGGCTTGTTGACAGGGTGAACCCCAGGACTGAGCCCTTCCCCTCCATCCTCACCACTGGCCGCTGAAATATGCCAGAGGCTACCGAGTGTGCGTCCAGCGCCTGGCTGGGCAGCAGGAAACAGGCCTGCTGGGACTCACTCAGGCTGGGGGGCTGCAGTTCAGAGCACTGGGCCAAAAGCACGGATTCGGAACTTCCTGCGTGGGCCAAGGGTAAGGGGGCACACCCTGCCCTCAGTTTGGGGGGTTTCCTCTCCCAGGCCAAGGGGTCCTCCCACTGGAACGGGACCCCCCCAGGAGTGGCGTGGGAGGAGGGCTCCGCGGAGAAGGGGGAGGGGCAATCCTAATTCCGAGATCAGGGGTGCTGAGCCCACGGGTCCGCGGGGGCGGCGCGCTGGGAGGGGCCTCACCCACTGCGCCGGCCGAGCTGACCCCTCCCCAGCTCCCGCACTCGGGTCGGAGCCCTAGTCTCACCTGGGATGCGAAGGAAGCTGGACAGCGGCAGGGGCGGGGTAGTCAGGGGCTGGAGGCCCTACGAACCCCGAGGCAGTCCTCGCGAGCGAGGGCCGGGAATTCCCTGCGCGGCTGCCAAGAGAGAGCGGGTCTGGGGGGGCCTGGGGCCCCCAGCATCAATCCCTTTTCCCAGCGACCCCCGAACCTCACCCCAGAGCAGACCAAGCCTCCCGCCGCTACCGGTCCCCACAAGGTGTCAGCTCACCTCCCCCGGGGAGCACCCGGCCCCCCGCGGCCCCCGGGCCCCC